AAAACATTGTGGTTTTTCATAACACTTTGTGTGAGATAACTATCTAATAAGATAAAGTGAATTAAGTAACTTTATTTATATAGAAGGTTGGTAAAACCTATAAGCACATTTTTATCGTTTCTTTGAGCCTTGAGGGCGAAGATGGTAACGTGTTGTATTCAAAGATAAATGAATACTAAGATAAGAAACAACAACATAACGGTTCCAATGCATTCACCAAAATGATTGATAAATAAAATCAGAAATAAAATAAAAGAAAGTATGTTTATACATTTATCAGTACCTGAATGAATGCGTGATCTCATGCGGACTGACTTGAATTTTGCTCATGCATATCGACATGTTAACTAGTTTGTTGCTGCAATCGTGGTCGTGTGGGGTACACGTGCAAAGATAGTTCTTGTGAAATCCAAACTATTATTCAAGTCTCTACAGCGAAACCATTCAGTCGTATAGAAAGCCAAGAGCTCCTGGCTATAAAGTGAAGAAAAAAAGCTTGTTGAGTTGAAGGCCACGGGAAGGATGAAATAGGAGCGGAGAATTATCAACAGGATAGGAAGACTGACCAGCAAGGGAGAAGATTTATGTGGACAAACCACTATATCTCGATGTCTTGTGCATCCAGCATGAAAAATTTATGAATTGGCCAAGTATATCGACCGTTGGTGCTTGTATTGACTTGGTTTAACGATGGCGCTTGTTGGGTCACTTCAGAAAAAACATAAATTATGGGTTTTGTTGTGTTTGCTAAATTTAAAAATCGACTTGGAATAATTTTTTGAACACTCAGCTGCCTGAGAGAGATTTAATCATTGTTTTATCTGTTCCATCTTGCTGAAGAAGTTCCATACACATAGTTTTTTACAGATGTGAGTAGTGTTTGCCCGTGGTTGCAGTACGAGCAAAAGGAAATAAATACCTATAAATTGTATTGTCTTAAAATGTACTGTTGCAATCGTAAACGATAATGTTAATAAGATAAAAGGTTTATTAAATTACAGATAGGAGATGTCCTGACTTGTAGAATCATGCTAGCTGTTGTTAGTGTAAATATTTCAATGTAGTATCATCATTCATCATATATAACTTTGCATAAGTTCGATATGTATTTAAAAAAAAGAAATATCACACTGTCATCAATCACATGGAAAAAGTTTTCCACACTATTTGAAGATCAATATTTAGTACTCATTATTCATGTCTTGGTTATTGAAATATTTTATTTTTACTATTTAAACTAAGACATCGTGCATACAAGTTATTCTTTGTTAAGAGAAAAAACTATAATGAAGCCACACACTTACGTGTCTTAAGAAAATTTTGCGATGTTATTTAATTCAAAGAAAAATAATTGCAACGCATATCTAATCTCATTATGTTTGAACTTAATATTCACTGCGCTTCAACTTACTTTGAGAACTAGATTGTTACTTCAAAATGTCCACCTTCCTCGTGCTGTTGTTGTGTTAGTGCAAAGTTATACAATGGGCTATCTACTCTCTGTCCATCGTAGGGAATCGAGCCCTAGATTTTAGCTATGTAAGTCCGCAAACTTTTCACTGACCCACCGAGAGACCCACTTCTTTCGAGAAAGTGAGATGAAAAATTGTTATTTCTGGATTTTAATTCCAGTCTGCAATAATATCAACGTAGATTGAATCTACTTTTTTTCATTGCGACAAATAACTTGAATTAGTTGCTGGCGTGGGATCCAGATTCATTTCAAAATCACTCATAGCACACATATGTTTCATCTGGCTCCAAAAAAAAAATGGGAAAGAAGCCCTATTAGGTCAGAAACTAATCTGATTCCAAACAAATCAACGTTCAAGAGAAACCTTCCTCCTTGTTTATTCGGGATCAAATTCTAAAATACTCAGTAAACCTGTTATTTGGGTTTACATTAGTTTTTTGGTGAACTTTTTACAAAGTTTCTTTTGGAAATCTTCTATTCTTTCCCTAATAAGTTCTATTAACTATAAGTATTAAACAACCGAAAATACAGATTCTCATAATAATCATTCTGACTTCAAAGTCAGATGACTATTTTCGTCATATGAACAGATAAAAAATGATAATTATGGAGCTTATAATTTCCCATGATTTAACTCTGAGGGATGTAGCAGAGTAAACATTATTCCAAAATGTGAAAGATTATAATTTTAAATACAGAATGAGCAGCTGTGAGAAGATCACACAAACGATCATAGCTATCAGTTCAGTACATTCTACTCTGTGTACATTGTCATTTCAGACTTCATAACGAAAAAACTGAGAAAATGATGTTTATCAAGTGGAACTACACACATAACTACAACATTAATCAGTTATAACGGACAAATTCCTATTTATTATCATTTATATATTTAAATCACATTTATTACTGGCTTTTGATATTAGATATTTGTAACGATTTGACAAGGCTGTAGGAAGAAGTAAGGCCAGTCAGGCCATAACCCTCCCTCTCTTTCATGACATGTACAGCTACAATCTATGTATTAAAACTTGCTTCTTTTAATTCAATATACTGGGTTGTGTGTATGCAGTATTTGTGGTTAAAATAGCTCAAGATTCAATCTCATAGCATTAAATGTTAAAAAAAATATGGGGGAGCATGCCCCCATTGCCTTAGGAAGAAATTTTGGAGTGGTCAGGCCATTGCTACAGCTAAACAATGTGACACACGATATGTGCAAAGCATGCCATTTCTGGGGAGTCTGAAGGCATGCCCCCTGTTTTACGCAAGACAAAATGACTACGAAATTCCACCCTCTCAGATACAAAAGCAATTATTATATGTACTTCTTAACTTATTAAATTAGATTTTCTGTTTACTTTAAGATATAAGCATTAAAACTTGAGGCTCATTACTTTCATACTTCAGTCACTAAGTAATTCAATGTTTGTAATTGTTGAGCAATTCACCCATCTTTTGGTAACCTTTAATAAATAATATTTCATGTATACAATATTTTCTATTCAACCCCCCCCCCCTCCTCCCCCTCCATCTCCACATATATATAATGAGCCTGCATAGTTATTGTTCAGTGGAACGTTATTTTGTGACCAATTCTTCTGCGCTGCCATCTATCGGAGTGACGTTAAATAAGTACACTGAGATGAGTAAAAAAACAGGAAAATCAATACGATGATGAACCCTATGTGAATATTGAAAACCTCAATATTTACAAAACCACAATAATTATTTAACTTTAGAATTGTATTTGAATGGTTGATATATAGTTTATTATTAAGTTGGATTTTCATTATTTACCACATTATTTTTAATATTCAATGGCGTATCTTTCTAAAACATTACAATAGTGTATTCTTTTACATTCATGTAAAAACTTAAGGCTACATAAATTGATGATTAATATGAATTATCAAGGAAGATTCAGCTACAATATTATTATATTGTACCCTTATCACATTATTTTAATGTTTTTTCTGTTTGTTTTTCTTTTGTCCTAAGAAACTAATCATGACAACAATGGTATTGTTTTTTTTCTTCAACTTAACAATCATTACTTTCCTCCTATTGTAAAAATCTTCTCAGGAAGATCTATTTGAAAACATAGATATAAATAACGTATTTTGTCAGGTATAAAACGGTTTTCGTTATTTAACGTCTAGAATTTAAAAAATTACTGTAAGCATTTAAAATTTCTAGAAAGCCAATAAATCGCGATATCAGATAAAGATAGCAAGTTTCTAATGCAGCATCCATTGGTTCGAAGTGCTTTACTACTTATTCTGAACAATTAAAACCTGATCTGAGGGTAAGCAATGAACCAGATGTTTGTAGAACGATGTTTGACTTGAAGAGTAAAACAAAACTGTTATCAAAAGTCTTGTTGAAAAAGTCTTTAGGCATTCGTACAGCCCAAAAGCAGTCTGTGATACAGCAAAAGCCCTAGAATTTATCCTGTAAGGATCAAATAGTAGTCCAGAGCTTTTTCCAGTTTTATATGACTTAAATGTTCAGAGTTTTCCTCTTCATGACACTAATATCTGTATTAATATATATATATATATATCAGTTCAGTGAAATAAAACTTTGTTTTTAATTATTTTTATTTCGTTTATTTGCGTGTGTGTATTTTATTCGTAAAAACGATATATTATAATATATTAATGTATAGGTGTGTTCAGATAATGTGAGTGTGCGTATAATTACGTTTTTTGTTGGTGATACATTATCCTACGCAAGTTTTTTTTTTTCTAAACAATAAGGATCAATTGCCTAATGAATACTGTTCTTATAAACGCAATAATAAATAGCGTTAAAAACATATTTAATTACTAAAAAAATGATTTATCAACAGTAACGTCAGTTCGAGTTTTCAGTTGTATTCTACTCTTCAAGAAAATTAATTACTTTTACAATCCTACTTTCATTGTTATCAATCTGAGAAGCCATGTGCGTATCCAGTTGTCGCTAAGACCGACCTAAACTAAGCCTGAAATCTGATAGTTTTATTCGTCAATAGCTATTTAGTTAAATAAGATATTACCATCACCTTGTTACGATTATAATCGACCAAATAAAAGTATAATGAAGCACACAGAGATAATGTAAATGACAGTCGAATCTATCTTAAGGAGTTTTCTCTTTGCCGACTGCGTTTTATAGAAATGTCACATTGTCCCATTCTTTTAGGTCGTGGGTATTGTGAGAAAAAAGCACGTGACCATAGTTTTGCCTTGAGCTAATGCTGTACTCTGGCATTACAAGGCACGCGCCAAACACGTTCTACCGCTCATTTATTGGCGAAGAACAGAAAACTTATAACTGGAGGCGGAGCTTTCTATTCTTGACGTCCCTTAGAGTATTTGAGTAGGAGGGTTTATTCTTTCCTTGCTGCTATTGGGTATTTTAGTAAAAACTGTTGTGAGCGGGATTCAGTGATAGACCCAGGCTTCAATACTTACACTTCAAACACGTCGAGGCAGGAGTAAGATTTTGCATTTTAAGGCAAGGCAGTGTTCCTTTAACCATATGATTATCCAGATGTTGAAGTTACATTTCTGCTAGTGAGTTTTAACGTAGACATTTTAGAAGTTATACAACTTTATTTGATTCAATGGAGCACTGTAGAATGGAAGGAAGTTACGAAATGTTTGGAGTAATACCGATCACTAACGTCCCCTTTGGAAGCCCGTTAACAAGCTCTCAATCCGCTTCTCGAGGCCTGTCTGAAGTGGATAGGTTACCAGCACGTTGGTCTTCAGTGCACGAATACAGTTACTGTTCGTCACATAATCGCCCGAGCGTTATGGCAAGGAGAAACGAACGCGAGCGAAACCGCGTGCGCCTCGTGAACCGAGGATTTGCAACGCTACGCCAGCACGTGCCCGGTGGCGCTACAAAGAAGAAAATGAGTAAAGTGGAAACGCTACGCTCGGCGGTAGAGTACATTAAACGACTACAACAACTTCTCACGGAAGACGACGAGAATCGCACTTCTCCAAATATTAAACACGAAACAGAGACTATATCCGTGTTTCATGGCTACCACGAAATGCAGTCTCCGGCACCTAGCAACGTGAGTTCATTCTTTCCGTCCTCATCGACGTCATCACCCACTTCTGACGGAATGATTGTTCCCTCTAAAGCAGAAAGTTCCTTGATAAGATCCCCCGTCTCTGATTTGTCTTCTCCACGAACTCTAACAGACTATGTAAACTTAGATGGGGATGAACTATTGGACATGGCATGGTTATAGAGCGCGTGTATGCTATGCTTACTGGTAAGACTTCAAGCAAACACTTGTATCTATGTGTAAAAGTAAGAAAAATGTGTACAGTTAAGGTCATTCATGTTGTTCTGCAGTTTAAATTTAATATTTAATCGTTAAATCTCCAAGTAATAAAAATTGCATACTTTATACTTATAGTTCGTGCTGTTAAATGTGTAAAATCTAGCTTTTAGGCGATGTTAAAATTGTTTTTTTAGAACAAAAATGTCATTGTAAAAATTGGTGTTTCTTCTTTCATTGTATAAATGTAAATACTAAACACGAACACGATAGTGTTTATTCAATACGTTTACGTTCACTTCTCGAAAAATTCCAGTTGTCGTTCTTGCTTTTCTACCTTGGCTTGCATCATTTTGTGAAGTAACAACAAAAGCATGAAAATTAGTGCTATTGGGAATTTGTAACCCAATTCAGTGGCGTCTAAAGCAGTTACAGTTTTATTGTCCACTTTATTATGACTAAAGATACATTAAAGTTTTGATGTTTAACAGTTTACATTTTGAAAATATATATTTAAATAAAGATGTTGTAAAGCTTTTACAATTAAGAAGTTTACAATTTTTAGACGTTCAAAAGTTGTGAATTTAAGTATTCTAATCGTATCAGTGATTTGTTTCTAATTTTAAAATTGTTGTAAAAAATGATAGATTTTTCCAGCTCTATATTATTCTACAAGCCTAATTTAGACAGAGTAGGATTGTTTACAGAAATTTTATAACTAATATATATATATACCAAAAGCTATTTTTGTATAAAAATTTATTTTTGTAACCATTGTTTAATTGTACAATTATATAAATATATAATTAGATAATTGACCACAATATTTTTGAACTTTATGAAATAAAATTTTTAATATGAATTTTCTCGGAAGCGTTTATTTATAATTTATTATTTCTTTCATATTGTATTATAAAAAAACTGTTTAAAATATTATTTATAAAACTGTGTGCAGCGAGGAATCAAATCTCGGATTCTAGCCCTTTAAGTTCGGAAACTTATCGCTGACCTTTCGGAAGATATTTATTAAGTTAAACATATCTCCTCAACACTAATTTGTATGTTGTTCAATTATAGTGGGCCGGGTTTGGTAAAGTGGATAACGTCCTGTTGACGTAGAAATGTACTTCGCATTTTAGGTCCGTGGATTCGCAAAAACACAAATGTAAAACCCCACTATTCGGTCAGACATGAGTAGCCCAAGAGTTGGCGTTGAGGGGCTGGTGACTAGTATTGCCTTCCCTCTAGTCTGGCAGCTGAAAATTAGGAACGGCTATGTGCAGACAGCCCTTGTGTAGATTTGTGCAAAATATCATATTTGTTTTGAACTTCACACAAAGTTACATGAGTAGCCGTCCCTCGTTTAGCAGTGAAATACTAGAGGGAAGGCAGATTGTCAACTATAGAGCTACTCTTTTACCAGTGAATAGTGGGATTGACCGTTAGATTATAACGTCCCCACGGCTGAAAGAACGAGCATATTCGTTGACGAAGATTCAAGCGCCCTAATCTCCAGGCCATGTGAGACCTCAGCAAATATCTAAACAAAGAAATATGTTGGATTTCATAAACAATTGGTCAATGAATTTTAGATTACCGTGTTTTAGTAGAAAGAACTGACTGTGATATTTTGGTTAGAGACAAAAGTATTAATCAACATATTACAGAACTCAAAGTACATAGTTCTCATTAGTCATTAACCACTTGTTAAGTTTTATTTTCTAAGATATTTTAACAGAAAACTAACCCCGCTAACACTATAAGTTAAACTGGTTTCACATGCTTAGGCATATATCAAAATATTTACGTTCTTTTTAATAATAATCTCTAATACTTTCAACATCAGATTATTATTCCAAGAATTTTAAGTGTCACATAAAATTGAACAATTCTTCACCTACTGAATCTTTATAAGATCTGTTTTGCACATCTCCAGATTTATTTTTTAATGGTTATAAATGACAATAAATAAGAACATTATATAAGAACGGAGGTAGCCAGAATCTCTCTATACCTTCATTATTTCTTACAATCACTTGCATAACTGTCGTTAACTAATACCAGTCACTCACAGAAGATAACGTAGATTCTATCTAAAATATTACAAATTAGATGTAGTCTAAACGATTTACAGAAGAAAGCATAAACTTGTGACTAATATATAACAAACTAGATATTAACTAAATAAGCCATCTCACTTGTTTGTTTGTTTTTGAATTTCGTGCAAAGCTACACGAGGGCTATCTGCGCTAGCCGTCCCTAATTTAGCAGTGTAAGACTAGAGGGAAGGTAACTAGTCATCACCACCCACCGCCAACTCTTGGGCTACTCTTTTACTAACGAATAGTGGGATTGACCGTCACATTATAACGCCCCCACGGCTGAAAGGGCGAGCATGTTTAGTGGGATGGGGATTCGAACCTGTTTTTGGAAAAACTTTCTCAGTTTATATCTAAAATAAATTGTTAGTATATGTATTATTTTTTACTTGGTAACTTTTTATTTACCTACACAAAATGTCCTGTAAGATATAACTTGAACGTTATAGAAAAAGCTCAGAGTTTATTACAATAAAAAATAATAATAATACAAAGAGTTTTAGATTCCACACTGTGTTTTTTCAAGATTCCGTTAGTACTTTGATAATGAGACACATTTGCTTGGACTATCAGATGAAAATTACGGACAGTTATTTGCACATTACTAGAACGATCTGCTAATACAGTGCAGTGTCTTTGTCAGTGGGTTTGTTTGTTTATTTTGAATTTCGCGCAAAGCTCCACGAGGACTATCTGCGCTAGCCGTCTCTAATTTAGCTGTGTAAGACTAGAGGGAAGGCAGCTAGTTATCATCACCCACCGCCAACTCTTGGGCTATTCTTTTACCAACGAATAGTGGGATTGACCGTCACTTTATAACGCCACTACGGCTGAAAGGACGAGTATGTGTGGTGTGACGGGGATTCGAACCCACGACCCTCAGATTGCGTGTCGAGCGCCCTAACCACTTGGCCATGCCGGGCCATTATCAGTGGGAGGTGAGCTGCCAAGAGTAGCATATTTAGCGTTCATATATATGTATATATATATGGTCCTCGGCAAATTGCAGACGACCATTCGAAAGTGCAATTCCCCCTTAGGTAGATTCCAAGTTGAAAGCATATGTCATAGCATTTTTGAAGATATATATTTATACACCAAGGCTGCTAAATGATATAGAGATAAAGAACACAACATTCCAAAGAAGGGCCTTCAGCACTCTTCTGCAGTGGAGAAATTCATATAGTAGACGTTTAAGATAGAATTCCGCCCCGAAATCAAACTAAAGCCGATTCAGATTAATACTGTCATTTTCAAAGTGCATGAAATCGTTACGAAAGAGAACCCTCCGACTCAAAAGTGATTACCTTGAAGTTGGACATAACTTTTAGTATGCCGTTAACAAGATAATAGACAGGGATTTGAAGCTGATGAAGCAAAAAATTCACAAGTTTCCAGTCACACGTTGAAATCAACAACTGATTCCTTGAAAAATATCAGTAAAAACAAACAAACTGGAATCACAGTAATACCCTATTACAACATACCTGTCATATCTCCGATACATCTCCAAAGGACTTTTGTTTTGTGTCTTTGAGTTGAAACAATGGTCTATGAAGCTGACGCTCACGTACAGTAGAGGGTCTGTGAATATTTTGTCAATATGTATAGCCCAAGATTGATCTCGTCCTTCCCAAACGTTTGCTGCAGTGTAAATTATGATATCAGACAGCAGTGCGTAATCATGGTTCGTAGAATGAACACAATCGACAATGGAGGATGTAGCTCCAAATGCATCACAGGCCTTGGCTAATATTTTTCTTACGAACTGCGACTAAACTCAGAAATGACAAAAAAAATAAAAAAAATAGAGTAATATATATATATATATATAACGCAGAACTGTATTACTTTTTCTTCTAAAATATTTATATATTCCAACATAGTCTAATTATCGGTATAACATTTCATATTATATATAAGCTAAATTCAAATTCCAATCTTCGATGAACATGTTGACTGACAGAGGTGGGAAGACTACTAAGAAGAACATATTTAACGTTATCGTATTCATGTTAACTAAACTGAAGCTTTCAGACTACTCAAACAATAACATGAATTATGGATTGTAAAATATTCAACATGCAATTGTTCACGAAATTGAGGTCGTGAAAGGACCCGTAATGGTGCTTAATCATGTTCTTTTCTGAGTTACTTACTTTTAGCGTCTCACTTAACTTACACACACACACATATATATATGTATGAATTATTGTTTTTTACGTCTAACAACAGTGTTGCATTTACAGTTTTTAAAAGTATGTCGGTTAAACAGAAATTTAAATAAGTGAGTAAAAAAACAAAACAAAATTAACAGAACTTTTTTTTTTCTCTTCAATAAAATTTTTATTATGTTTTTCTTACAAAATGTTATTGAAGATCGATTAGCGAAATGTACAATATAATGAGAAATATCATTACGTTCTTCCTTAAAGTGGATCACAATAATGTGAGCTAAGGCCGCTAAGCAGAAAGTATTTATACACTTGTACGTCATATTTTTGTTTTATAGGCAATATACTACCTAAAGAAAATTTAACCCTAATCTTCAAGTACAAGGTTTGATACACATAAATGATTTACAGAAGAGTGGTGTGTTTGACAAAAAAAATAACACATTATTTTCTACTAGCCCTCAGTTTTTCACAATTTATTTGAAATATCGTATATTTTACAATTACGGCGTACAAAAAGAATTAGATCCCGAACACCGAGACAATAGTCTAATACTTAGATGAATAAAAGAGGAATTCCACGGGATCGTAAGCATCGCTGTAATTGCCACGGTATAGCGGCTCATAGAATTTGAGATCTAATTACAGCCGCGGCTATTGAGGATTCCCTCATGTTGTGTTATTAGAAGTAATC